TTGCTGTCCCCAAATCATCCTCTAACTAACAAGGTAGAGACAGGGACAGAGAGTAGACCTGTGATTTCTCAAATAAGGAAGTTTTTTCTACCAGTGTTGTTGGGCACTTTTCCTCTAACAGACTTAGTTGCCTGGAGTCCTCAGTTAAAATGACTTGCTCCAAGGTCACAAAGATAGCGTATGTCAGAGACAGGTCAATGCTTTTGAACATAGCTTAAAAAAAACTGGGGATGGGGTAAATATTCAAGAATTGGTATGTATCCAGTTCTTGAACATCTTAGAATGAGAAATAGCAACCAGGTAAAACTTCAAGGGCTTCTCAGGAATACAGAGTATTTAGAAATATATATATATATATATGTACATATATGTAATATATATATACTGGAACTATGATAATGATGGGTAGACTGTAGTTTAAAGAGTTTTTTTCCAAATTTATTTTATTTTATTCATTTTTGTAAGTAGGCATCTTGCTGTTAAAATATACAAATGGAAGCTTGACCAAAGACCATTCTGGGTATAAAGGAATTTTGACCCCAAACATACCTAGAGTGACATTGAAAACACTTAATATTTGGTGGTGGGGCTGTCAGTGTGAAAGTCAGGCAATCTATTTGTCTTGAAGTGTGGAAGTAGGAAATTCGGCCTCTCCTACATTATGTCCCAAGCTGTGTGTTAGGACCCATATTAGGGGTGCAAAGATCAATGGTCTCTTTCTTCAAAGTTAACATTTCAGTGCAAAATATTTAGGCATTGCTGGTTACAGTCCTTTCCAGACTATCAGCTAGATGGTGAAGGGGATACACCGACCCAGAGTGATATAAGGGAGCATATGAGGACACAGGGAGGAGGGGCTCGTAAAGCGCTATAGGAATTTGAAACCAGCACTTTGGGCTGATGTGGAGGAGGGTTAGAAAGGCTTTGCGGGGGTTGTATTAGTAGGGCCTTTCAAGGAGCATTTTGAGGGGGAACAGATTGTATTTAAAATGTTGTCTTTGCGTCTTTAGACCCAGCACTGCTCTGTGCATGTTGTTGGCATTTATTAAATGCTTATATTGGTTTGAAATGAAGCCGGTAGAGATGCAGAAAGCACACATCCCAGATATGGAGGTGGGGCAGGGGAGAAGAAGGCTAATCTTGTACAGAATGAGACAAGGAAATAGCTAGTAGTCCAGTTTGGCTGGAAGAGTAGGTTGGTGCCATATGATAGCAGACTTGAAGTGCCAGGTTGAGGAGTAGGGTATTTTATCCTATAGACAAAAGGAAGGCACTGAAGACTTTTATTCAGGGCATTGACAAAGTGAGATCTTTGTATTAGGCAGATTAGTTTGGCAATTCTGTGAAGGATGGATGGGAGAAGGCAGGGACCAATTAAGAAAACATTACACTAGACTGAATCTGGGGTAGTTGGTGGCGGTAGTGAATGAAAGGATGGAGCAGATGAAAGGTGTTCTGGAGTTAGATGTGGGACCTGAGGTTTCAAGCCTGGATGACTTAGGAAATGGATACATACATGCCATCATCAAACAAGTTGGGAAAAAAGTTTAATTTGACACATTGAGTGTGAGGTTGTGGTGGAACATCCCATTAGAGAGGTCAAGCTAACTTTCTCACTAAATGGGTGGGGGAGGGACTGGAGGGAAGAAAAGAATTTGGAACTCAAATAAAAAAAATTAATGCTAAAATAAAGTATATTTGAAAAAAGAGATGTCAAGCAAGCAGTTATATATTAAATATTATTTATATATATTATATCCCTTAATGGGGAGAGTATATGGAGAAGACTGATGTGAGAGCCTTGGGGACTTCCCATTCCTTGTTCCTCCTAATCTCACCTTCTGGGCTGATATGATAACTGTTGTGGAAATTAAGGTGGAGAGTAAGAAGGGAAGGCTGTCCAATAGTATCAACACTACAGAAAAGTTAAAAGAAGATCTTTCAGAAGGAGTTTAGGGGAAGGGGAGGCCTTGAATCTAAGCATTGAAGTTACTGCTTATACTTAAGTCTTTTCTTAAACAACTTCAGAGAATTTCTGCACTGAAGTTGTTACTCAAGTGCTTTTTCCAGTGTAATCTCCTTACCTTGCTACTTTAGAATGTTGAAGTGGGTTGTACATTGGGTGAAGGCATCCCTCCTTCCATGATGTGACCATGATGCCATGTCTTTAGAGAGAAGGCAGTATGGTCTGATGGAAAAAATTTATGGTTTTTAGAAAGATGGAGGTTTTATTAAGGCTCTGGAGCTAAATCATATGATCCTGGAAAAAAATCTCGATGTTTGGGCCTTGGGAGATTTGAGCTTGATCCGTTCTTTGGTTCCTTCTAAGTTTCTGTGGTATGTACTACTCTTTCAGATGGCATTAAAAAAGTGCCTACCTTGAGCAGAGTGCTGGGGTGTAAAGCACAGATTAAGTAAGCCCAAGTTTCCTGCCCTAATGCGATTTATGGGGGATATATGACCATACAAATAACCCAATGCCTATGTGAAATTCTTTATGAAGTCTGTTGGGCAGAGGTAAAAGATGTGTTTTTACTTCTTCGTTGGTCCTTTGCACAACCATCTCAAGGAATCGGGGTAGGAAGCATGGCAGTCCTGGACATTGGTGTGAAATGGGAAGATAGGAATGATGCCATTGGATTCCTCACTAGTCACTTGCCATCAAATCTGAGATATGACCAGTCAAAAACAGAAACTGGAACATTATATGATTGTCCTGTTTTTATTGTACCTATCATAAATAAAAAATACAGCTTACCAGTTTGTCCTGGTCAATAGCTAAACATTTAATTTATAATTGGGGGGAGGGATAGAATACTGCTTGTTTGGAAGATCCAGGTCTCATTAAAAATTTAAAAAAAGCCTTTCTAGAGAAATTCTTCTTTAAAAACTCCTTTGCTATCAGGCTGATCTTGAAGCATGATTATGATCATGGAACTCCCTTGTTCAGAAATTTTCATCAGCTCTCCCTCCTTGCTTACTGAAATAAAGTCCAAATGATTTAGGCTGGCATTTGCAGGCTTTCCAGCTTTATCTTCTACTCCTCCTCAGTTTGGACTCTCCAGTCCAGACTACTGCCTTTCCACAAACATTTGCTGCACTTACATACCACTGAATGCTTCCTTTACTCTCAGCTTTCCAGGCCAATCACAACTGGTACCACTTCCACAATGCTTTTCCTGACCAGCCGAGCTGGAAATAGTTTTCTTTTTCAAGAACTTTGTACTACTCATGGCATTTATCATATAGTTTCGTATTGCTGATAAGCACATGCCCTCTGCCCTGTTACATGGTAGGTTCTTTGAGGCAGAAGCCCCCTCTTTGGAAGACTTTCTATCCACAGGACTTCTAAAACAATGTTTCACATAGAATCTGCTCAATAAAAATTTGTGAAATGAATGGAAATCATCATTTTATTCACTTCATATCCATTTTCAAAATCAAAATTACTGGCACTATGGTCAGGGTAAAAAGTCTGAGATGACCTTAGCCCAAAGATTGTTATTTAAAAGCTGTAGATTTCCAACAAAAGAAAAATGCTTTTGAAACCTTGGAAAAGTTCTACATATATCAGTTGAGCCCTGAATTAGACTGAGCAGGGTGGGAAACCTACTATCTGATGTTCACAGCAAGTACAGTAAAATCATTGTAAGGTATTTGCAGGTCAGATTAACTACATACACTCTACTTTAACCTATTTCTTTCTCATTTCTGTTTTCTTACCTCTGTAGATTCAATAGTCCAGGTTTATTCAGGAGATATAGAGGCAATATGAAATTTACTGGGTTTTTTCTTAATCACTAATTTAATACTATTTAACCAAGTACTTTATAGTACCCTATTGCTGTTCAGAACCATTTCTAGCTTCTTATTTTCTAATTACTTTATTTGTTAGATAACTTATTTTTTATTGACTAATAGAATTTTCTACACAAAGCTTTGGGGTGGAATAACCTTCATTTTCTTTCTAGATCCATTATACTTAAATCCTAGAGACAACCTTAACTTTTATTTTTACCATTTCTTAAAATAATAGTTGGAAGATCAAACAGAAAACCATTTGGGGACCACCATACTTCAGTGGTTACCAAAAAAATCCCTTCCTTTATAGTGGAGATTCTTATATGGAAGTTTAACTTCATACATGGATTGATGAGCAATAGTTAACATGAATATTTGGTTGAGCAGATCACCATTACCAGACTATGCTGGATCATAGATCTAGTTTCTGGATGGAATCTCAGTTTAGTCCAGCTCTCTCTCTCTCTCTCTCTTTTTTTTTTTTAGTAGATTGCGGAAACTAGGATCCAGGGAGGTTGTGACTTGTTCAAGGACAAGGTCACAGGTGGGATATGACCCCAGGTCTTCTGACTCCAGAGTCAACACTCTTTAACAAGCACGGTTACCCCCATCGGCATTTATAGACCTATTAGAAGGGAGGATTATAGGGAAAGATATCGGAGGTGGCACTTGCATGCACTTATAGCTCAATCATGCAGTATGGCAGAGCCAGGCCTCGGACTCAAAATCTAATGCTGTCTCGTACCCAAATGAAGGTAGAAGTATTATTCTAAAATAACCTGTAGAGGTTATAGCCAAGTTACCTACTATTTCAAAATGTAACACAAGAACATAAGGATCTGATGGTCCAGAACTATAGTGGTATAGGATTGATCTTTTAGTGGGAGAGGTGCAGGGCCACTCTTGGGAACTTTTTTATTCCCTGAGAAAAGAAAGGAATGACAATAAGCTATTTCATTTGCTGAGTTCTGAGCTTTTAACTGGTTATAATGTATGTGTAGTTTTAGGTGTTTTTTCTCCTCCTCTTATGTTATCACCACCCATCCATTGATCTTCCTCTCTCCTTGAGGAAATAGTCTTAATTTAAGGTTGCATTAGAAGAAGGTGAATGTGTCACAAGCAGCTATTGCAAGTGCATTTGAGCTTTTTTTGTTGCATGGAAGTAAATGCTAACTTTCATTTCTTACCGCTCCTTTCAGTTTCCCTGGAAAGACTAAACCCCAAGATGGCAGATGAGACAAACACCAGGGATTGCATGTCCTTCAGTGTGCTGAACTGGGATCAGGTCAGTCGGCTGAATGAAGTTTTGACTGAGGTTGTACCAATCCATGGACGGGGCAACTTCCCCACCCTGAAGATCACACTGAAGGATATTGTTCAGACTGTCCGCAACAGGCTGGAGGAGGCAGGAATCAAGGTGCAGGATGTTCGACTGAATGGCTCTGCGGCTGGTCACGTCTTGGTCAAAGACAATGGCTTGGGTTGTAAAGACCTGGACCTAATTTTTCATGTGGCTCTTCCAACAGAGGCAGAGTTTCAGCTTGTTCGAGATGTTGTTCTGTGTTCTCTTCTGAACTTCTTGCCAGAGGGAGTCAACAAGCTAAAAATCAGTCCAGTGACTCTTAAGGAGGCCTATGTCCAGAAGCTGGTAAAGGTCTGCACCGATACTGACCGTTGGAGCCTGATCTCCCTCTCCAACAAGAATGGAAGGAATGTGGAACTCAAGTTTGTAGATTCCATTCGCCGTCAGTTTGAGTTTAGCGTGGACTCCTTCCAAATCATTCTGGACTCTTTGCTTTTGTACTATGACTGTTCAAGCAATCCCATGTCTGAACACTTCCACCCCACTGTGATTGGGGAGAGTGTGTATGGCGACTTTGAGGCAGCCTTTGACCACCTCCAGAACAGACTGATTGCTACCAAGAACCCAGAGGAAATCAGGGGCGGAGGACTCCTGAAGTATAGTAACCTTCTGGTGCGGGATTTCAGACCCACAGACCAAGAAGAAATCAAAACCCTGGAGCGTTACATGTGTTCCAGGTTCTTCATCGACTTTCCAGACATTCTGGAGCAACAGAGGAAGTTGGAGACCTACCTCCAGAACCACTTTGCTGAAGAGGAGAGAAGCAAGTATGACTACCTCATGATCCTTCGCCGGGTCGTGAACGAGAGCACTGTGTGTCTTATGGGACACGAACGGAGGCAGACCCTCAACCTCATCTCCCTCCTGGCCCTGCGTGTGCTGGCAGAGCAGAACATCATCCCAAACGCCACCAACGTCACTTGTTACTACCAGCCCGCTCCCTACGTCAGTGATGGCAACTTCAACAACTATTATGTTGCTAACACTCCAATGCCCTACAGTCAACCATATCCCACCTGGCTGCCCTGTAACTAACTAATCTCTTGACTTGAGGATTTCTGAAAAGGAAACCTCAAAAGGGCAAGGGCTTTCAGGAGATAGGGGAGCCTTTCTAGATGCAGGTGTTTGGCTTTTAAAGGGGAACTCAGCTCTGATTCTGCTTATTTTCTTTGTGTACCCATCGAATGGGTCTACAGTCTAGCATGAGAAAACTTTAAAAGGGACCCTTATTACAGTGCCACTGTGGAAGCTGACCTGTCCGAAACACACTTACCACTTCATGGTCCCGAGCCTTCCGCACTTGTGGATTTGAGCCCCGTTGCAGTGCAGTTACTTAGAATGGAAAATAACTTGGGCAGTGTTTGAGAAGCCTTAAGCCAACTGTCTTCTCACATCAATCTTGCATCTAAACTAGGCTGTGTTTTAGCCCTTGTCCTGAGTCCTTAGCAGCTAACGCTTGGGCAAAACTGTTTTCTTGAATCCATGCGGCATGACAAAGGTGAGGGTCTTCTTGGGTGCTTTTGTTTTTGTTCCAAGGGGATTTTGAGTAAAGGCCAAATTGCTTGTGTTTGCTGACTTATCCCCTTTCAGCAGAGCTGAAGGTTTCCTTCAACAATTAAACCAAAGCCAACAGCCTTCAGAATTGAGCTCTGGTTAGAAGTGGCATATGTGGCTTAGATGCTGTGCTATCCCAAAGAATTGTGAGAGGTTACTGCTAAAGCATGACCTAAAAGGTTTCTTGGAAATGTAACTCAAAAACAAAATAAAATGTAAGACAATGTTAAAGTAGAAAAAAACAATTGGTGGTGGTGGGTGATGGTTGTGACTAGAGACTTAATGTTCAAATGACACTTTCTTTAAGGCATTTTTAATGAATGGAACTTTTGGTTGTTTCCCCCGTTCAGTCTTTTTCATGGCTGACCTGTTTTGTTGTCCTGTTCTTACGATTTAAGTTGGGCGGTCTTGTTTCATTTTGTTCCTATGATGACCCATTCAGGACTTCCCCCGTGTCTGTGTTGTAGTAGGATGAGATGCCCCTTTTGATCACATGCCAAATATGACAACTTAATTTATTTGCAATATGTTGAGTGCTAATGTTTTTTCCCCCCTAAAAAAAATTGTCAGTAGTGTAACTACTCCCCTAACTTTCTATTCACAGCAAATGAGTTCATGATGCTTACTTGGTTAGGAATTTGGGCTAGTAGGATAGCTTCTTTTGTAATTTTAAATGATTTGTGGAAAGATCCCCTTGAATGGAGCAGGCTGCTTGAGCTAATGCTTATGGTTTCAAGGAACTGCATTAGAATACAGACTGCTATTCTGAATCTTTCTCATGTTTGGATGAAGGCTTGGGTTAATAAAAAGTCTGTCATGGGAGTGGTCAAAGCTCTTAATTTGGGTAATATTTTGTAAAGGAAGTTCCCAATTCTCCCTTCTAGCTAAGGACTGGCTTAGTGAATGATAACTTAGCCGTTCCGTTGACCTGACCCACTGTACTTATATTGTATTCTGCACTTTAGGGAAAGACTGTGTTAATTTTAGTGAGTGTTCTGTTGCTCAACTTGGTTAAGAGTTCCAGGGTCATCTAGGTGTAGAGACCACTGCAGATTCTTCCCTACAGAGAAGGAATTTCATGTTGCAGTTTCTTATAGGGCCTCCCACTTCAGAGAAACAATTTTAGTTGACTAGGAAAATGATAGCCCAGTTCGCAGATTTCAAAAGAATTTATTCAAATCCAAGATCCTGAATTTGACACTGCTATGGCCATAGAAATCCTGGGCCATGACAAAGCTCAGTTAATGAAAGAACACTTGAAGATCAATGACTTCTCTATCTAAGAGAAAGCTAAGAGATGTTTGGTGTGCTCTGTCTGGAATGTGATATTTTGGCCCCTTTTTCAAGTGAAACAGATGGGTGAGCTTGGTTTTGTTTTCCTCCTTGGGTGTCACTCATAATGTATTAGCTTTAGCAAGGTGAATAAAAAGTCACCTTAGCAGTAGAACTTGCATTTGCTTCTTTAGAAGACCTTGGAAAATTATGCTGAACTCCTTGCCTTTAAATCAAAGCTAACTTATACTCAGGTGTGAATGGAATTGGTTTGAGATCTCTTGGTAGTATTTCAGGTGTGACACAGACTGAAAGTGAATTTATCAAACCACTTGATTATCTGTGATTTATGATAAGCTGTCTTTGGAGGGTAATGGCAATACATCCGCACTAAAATTATTCATTTGTGGCAGAATGTTAGCCAAAGCTTTTGCAGTGGCTGGTTTCTATTTGCTTGCCAGATAAGTTTGGGGGTGAGGGTGTTGGGGGGAGCTCAGGACTACACCCTTAGTTTAAAAATAATTAAATTCCCAGTTTGGCCTTTTTGAAAACTCATCCTGCTTATTATAACTTCTTGTTTCTCTGTTTATTAGTGTCCTGACGTCAGGGTGGTTGGAGGGGAGGAGGGAGTGAGGAGGAGATAGGATGACTACTTCCACCTGCAAAAGTCTCTCTTTACTCCACCCCCTTGAAGGAATACCAACACCTTTAGATTTGTATTTTAGGTCATTTAGAACGTGTGCAGTGTACCACTTTAGATAATGTAGAACATGTAGGAGTTTACTTAAAGTTAACTATTGGGCTCTATTTTGTCTCAAAATAGTAAGTGTCTTGGAGAGGCCACAGGGGACAGAAAAGTAGCCAAGCCAGGGGCCCAGATAACATTTCTGGAGCTTTTGGCTTCTCTTTGTTCCTCGACCCTCCCCCACCTCCACACACCTTGGGCACCCCCTTTGTGCAATTACCTTCTTACCTGAGATTATTCTGATCCAACTCTTTTTTAAGTTTGCAAGTAGATGCCTATGCAGGAGCTAGCATAGCTGCCTAAGCTGCAGCTCCTCCACTCCAAGTTAAGTGTGCCGAGTGGCACAGACTGTGTGGATGGTGAAGCGCAGAACTGGGTCACTAAAACCTAATCCCTGGCTCTCAGGTATGTAGTTTACCAGCTAAGGTAGCTCTTAACCAGCTTCACGATGTGCCAAGTCACCTCTAAATTCAAGCGTCTGGACATTCTACTTAAAAATGTGCCTTTGGGGGCCATAAGAGTGGTCTCTGTAGTCTGCATTTATATCCAATCCAGGGGTTCCTTTTTTTTTGTCTTTCTAGTGTTGAGTAAAAGGAAACTTTGGTAGTCACCAAGGGGAATTAAAAGTTCAAGTATAAATTCTAATCTAAATTTAAATAGTACCTCATTTATGTTGGGTCCCTAAGATGTCCTTTTTTTCTTTTTCTTTCTTTTTTTTGGCCTTTTGCAAACATGCAGTGTACTCTTAACTTCTTCCTCTGAATCGGCTTTGAGTGGTCTTCATGTTGGCAGAGGTATCTGCACTAAATTCCTGGGCTTCAAGTTTTCAGATTTTATGATCTTATTTGGCAGATATTATCTCACATTCAAATTCACTGGCAAACATTTAGAATAAAACATTCCACACGAACACCCTCTCAATCAGTGTAGCTCAAATTAATTAGGCATATGTGGGGAAACTGGGTATGGTTCACAGCCTGTAAGAGGTAAATTTCCATTTAGGGGTGAGGAAAGGAAGAAATGCTTCTTGGATTGTGGTACAGAAGCAATTGGGCAGCTTACTGTTGGGGCATGAAATTTCAAACTTGGCTTTCTTCTGAATTGTTTGCTTTTTATGGTTATCTGGCATCCAATGGCCAAAGACCTGAATTGAATTCATCCTTCTCCATTGTGGTAGCCCTCTCATTCACGCATCTAGTCTTTACCTTTGTAGTAATAGCAGAAATAGTAGTAATAGTAGTAGCACTAGTGGTGGTGATGGTGATGGTGGTAGTAGTTGTAGTAATAGTTGGATAGGATTTTCAGTAGTATCACTGTGTTCTTAGCTAGAAGTGCCACTCAAGGTATCAGGTATTCTTTTTCTTTTAAGAACAATAATTCCCTTTTGGGTAGTGCCTTTCCCCCCCATGGACTAATCTTTGGGGCCCAAGTTAGATTCTTCAAACCTTTTCTTCCATAGGGTGATGGTGACATAATTAAAACGTTACCACAGGGTGGGAGAAAGCATATATTACTATGAGCCATTACCATTCACAGTGGTTATCTGATTATCAGCTCTGAACCAGAGAGAATCTATTGGTGTGTGTATGTATCAATTTAGGTACAAATCTTCTTTTCTTAGAAGTTGAGAGAAGAAACACTCAGATTTCTAAGCTTAGAGCCAGATATCCTTACGCTGGCAGAGACCAGAACATTGTATCTACTCTGGTCATAGCTGGCTTTGGAACAAATTTCAATTCTCCTAATTAACATTCAGAGGACCAAAGGAGGCCTGGGAAGATATTAGGAAACTTTTTAGAGGGGTGTAATGGAGCAAATTAAGAAAAGGAAAGGCCAATATTACTGAAACCAGATATTTCAAGTGCCTAAATCTTATCACTTATTTTTCTAATAATTTAAGTGTAGTGTAAAAAAAAAAACAAAAACCAAACAAATGTAGTTGGAACAAACAAAGGTACAGAGCAGTCATCTACTCCTATGTATGTATGGGAAGGTTAAAAGACCATTCACTAATGAAGTGGATAAATTAAATGATGTGGGTTTGTGTGGGTTTTCTTTTTGTCTGAACCTTATTTTATTTAAAGATAAAGAAACTCCTAACTTTTTAAAAAGTAGTTGTTTTTTTTAAATTTTGTTTCCAAAGTAATATATAGCTAAGAAAAAACCCACCTTTAGTCTATTAGGCAAAATAGGAAATTCTTTTCAGTTTTCTAAATTTGCATAGCAACTAGCCACTGGAATTCTTGATTTGTTAGCAAGTCAAGATGTGTGGGATTACTTCTTTGTTAATGGTCACTAGCCTTCTCAGTCCATATGGATGAAATCACTTTCTTTTGTCAATGCAAAATGTGTTAAAACTTTATAAGAAAAAAGCTTTGAGTTTGAGAAATAAAGATATATTTTAAAGACCTTTGTCTATTGTGTTTTTACTGTTGTGAATACCATGGACAGTACTAATATGCATTTTTATTGTGGCTAAATCAAATTTTCACATTCAGGTCATTCTAAATCACCAATGCTGTACTTCATGGATCATGTTGCTAGTAAGGCACAGGGCTGGTGTAGTTGAATCCTAGATATTTTATCTCGAAGGCGGCATACTTTGGCCAGCAGAATTTCAGAAATAAATCCCTTCCCTGTTAACTAGTTAACTAGTACTATGTTAATTAGCACTGTTAGTTAACTAGTAATAACTGCTATGTACTGGTACCTAAGTGTTGCTGGCAAACCTGCGGTTATGTTCTGGCAGGAGATTTAACAGCTTGCTGCCACTAACAAAAGCTTTTATGTGCATCTTGTGTGACCTCTCCAGAGAATTCAAGCTGGCCAATTCTCTGACTTTTTTGTTGGCCCTTTTCTTAACCATTGTGTAGAATGTGGTGATAGCCTATTGACTTGCTCTTACTGTGTTGGTCAGCAACCTCTACCCAACAGCCAATTTACCTTGTATTGATATTGGGGAGTTAAAAGTTTCCTAAAGTCTCTCATTGACATGAGACGAAAAGGGAGAACAGATTCTTATGCTCTTCCCAATGTTAGCAGTTCAGGCCACTTGAAAACTTCCAGATCATACTTCCAGAAGCCATTATTTCAAATCATCCCAAACTAATATGAGGATACGGGTATTATTATGTCCTCTTATCACCTTCAAACTGACTTGCTAACGATAGCAGGAGAAATCGGTCTGGAGCTTGGTTCGTTCTTATCTTTCTGATGTTGACCTGATAACATGCCTCCAAATCCTTTTTTTAGGAAAAACAGGCATGAGCCTGTTTTTAAGGTAGCATAATACCTTTCTTTGATTAAATGAGTTGATGGGCCCAAGGACACTCACTAACTTTGCTTACCTTAGAGCACTATGTAAACGCTGTTATTATGATTTTTTCTATAATACTTTTGAAAGCAGAGTGATTTTCCTGTCCCTTTTCATTTGTTTGGTGCTCCTACAACCTTGTATAGCCATTATCTCTATTTTACAGATAAACTGAAATGGGGAGACTTTAACAAACTTATTCAAACCCAAATTATGGTGTTCCTTTCTCTGCACTTCAGTGAAAAATAAAAGGCAGATGAAGGCCAGCTATTGCCTGACAGTTTTGACAGTATGATGGCTGCTGCCTTTTATCATCCAAACCTGGGTGGTTCAGAATGCCCTAAAATGGAGCAGGTATCACCTGCCTGTTCTAAATGCTCATATTGTATTAGTCATTCAGGCTAGCATCCTGCTAGTTGTGATATGTATATACACACACACATATATGTATATGTATGTGTGTATGCATGCACATATTTATATATACATACACATGTATATGTATATTTCATATCTACCAGCACATCCTTTCCAAAACCTTCCCCGCCACATGTATCAGAGTTGTGACAGATCCAAGAACAGCAAAAATTCCAGAGGTGATGTCAAAGATGGAATAAGTTTTTTGGAAATGATAAAATTGTAATGTACAAAAAGTTGAATCTCCCAGACTTTTGTCCATTCTCAGGGTAATTTATGGTCCACATGGGCTGCTTGAGGAGAGAATGAAATCGTTACTAACTCATGTTAAACATTCTACAAGAATTTCCACAGACCAGCAGTCTCCTCAAACAACTGTGACTTTTGGGATTCTCTATCCATCTCCATAGGCTGCAATGGGAAGGAAGAACCCAGTGAGTACCTTCACTCCTTCTGCAAGAAGGTTTAAACAGAGCAAAGACATCTCACATGTGTCAGTAGCAGAGCCCAGTGTTTAAAGACTATGAAGGGCAAGTGCTAAGATACATCCAAACTGATCCCCTCTTCAATTGCTAAAAATGATAATTAAAAAAAAATAATGTAAATTTATATAATACTTAACAGCTTACCTTGTGAGAAGTACAGTACTTTTTCCTGGAACCACCCTTCCTCCAAAACAATGTTGGCAGCACGAAGAATGTGAGGAGATGAGGCATCAGTCAATTTACCAGAAGCCTGGTAACCCAGCTTAGACTCAACTGTAAAACAATGAGATCGAGAAGGGAGGGAGCTTAGCACCTGACCCAGTAACAATGTCCTTAGCAGTTCAAGTAGTAAACAGCTAGGATTTTTGATGCGCTAATCTAGCAAACTGATCTCAATCATCTTATCCTTAAATAGTGTTCAGGACAGATGCCTTTAGAAGAACAATTCTTTCCATGTCCTGACACACGCTCAGGCCTGCTGACGTTACCAAAGAGACTGAGCGAGAAGAAGCGTCCTTTGGTCAGCAATTGTTTGCTCCACTGTGACATGCATGCCCTCTTGCTTCTGCCACCTAACTGACTCCTCATCTGTTTAAAGTTCCCATTCAAAACTTCCACCCTGATGTGTTGTGAAAAGTCTGCCTTGGATTTGGTCCATGCAGAGAGCTCATTGTTCTTGGGCTTTCCTTCCTTCCCTCCTTGTGAAGTATCAGGTTTTTTTTTTGGCCTTCACATGATTTAAACATGGACAGGACAACGTCCTCTTTCTCTTACAGTTTCTATTGGTCTCCTTATTTTCTAGATGACTTTTCTTACATTATAATTTTACCATTTCCAAAAAAGTTATTCCATCTTTGACTTCACCTCTGGAATTTTTGCTGTTCCTGGAACTGTCACAACTGTGATACATGTGACCCTGGGCAAGTCACTTAATTTCTTTGGGCCTCAATTTTTCAATCTGTAGAATGAGAGTGTTGGGCAAAATAGGCTGGAAGTCCTTGCCAGCTCTAAATCCATGATCTAGTGGTCTTATTTCAACAAATGTAGAGTGGAATAAACAGCGTTTGGTAATAATGCTGTAGTAGGTATGCTATATGAATGATGAACTAGGAAGCAGCACGGTGAGGTCCCATTTCCCTATCAGTTAAAGACTTACGAACAACCCTATACATTCATTATAGGATTCTTGATTTCATTAGCGTGAATACTGCTTTCTCCTATGCAAACTGAAACCCTTCCAGTCCTTAATAGATGGTTTAATGAGTTGCTAATGAGTTCCACTCTTACAAAAAAAAAAAGGCAACAATTTGGGGCCAACTCTTTCAATATTCATTCAAAAAACATTTATTCAGCACATACTACATTTCTGGCACTGTGCTAAGTGCTGGGGATACAAAAAGAGGTGAAACACAATCCCTGCCCTCTCAGGAGCTTATTTGGCCTTCATTTTAGCAAAGGATGGAGTGATGTCTTGACTTGCGTGTGAATTGGATTTAAACGAGTTGCACAGAGTTGTCAGCATCACTCTGTTCTTAGTCGTCCAAGTCTAGTGGGAGGACAAAACTCAAGACACTGGCAATGGCTTGGGATGCAGCGGATGACCTTTGATGTCTGATCAAGCTCTAAGTGCCCCACAGTCAGCCGCCACCTTCGTGGCCATTGGAACAGACTGTTCTCATCCGTCCATTCCACCCAGGGAAGCCCTCACATGTTTGGGGTAGATAACCCCCTAAACTCACCTCTGGGTTTGGGGCCCATCAGTTACCCTCAACCTAATTTAGCCCTTCTGTGGAGAGTTTTACCAAGGTATTGTCACTACGCATGCTACAGCTTCTTGGAGCCACAGATGAGAGTTGAGTGCCAGTTAGATGCCAAAGATGGATGAGCAGCCCTGAAAAAGGCTTGGCAAGCCCTCGAACCAGAGGTGCTGGCTAGTCCTCCCTGAATGCCCCATATACCCTTCAAGGAGCTTATACTCTAAAGGGAGAGACAACATGTAAACAATTATATACAAAGCTCAGGAGGAGCTTCTACTTCCATAGGTCTAGTAGGTCCACAGACCCGGTCTAGTTGGCCACTAGATTTGTTTTCTGGGCCCTTCTAGCAAGAACTTGTGTTATGGTGGCACAGCTTTCCCAAAACCCCTGGTGTCACTTGGACTTAGAAATAGTAAGTGCTTGGGAAGTGTTCATTGCTTGGATGCCATTACAGCAAACTTTTCATTTGAGATCTCGTAGATCTGGAGATCTGGGCACCTGCCCAATCCTAGCATGGATTTGAAGATCAGAGAGAACCTAGTCTGTGCCCTTCAGTTGCCCCAAGTCTGGGTGGGAAACATACCCATCTATGCATGAAACCTCATACTTCATATAAAGTTTGTAAAGCATATTGATATCATCTCCTTTGAGATAATGTATGTAAATGCGAAAACCTGTAACCTTAAAAGTGCTATCCAATACTAGTTATTGTTATTATTATTTGATCCTCTCAACAACCCTTTGTTGACAGAGTTATCATTACCATTTTACGTGTTACTCTCCCACCTCGAGGCTTCAGAGAAGTAATTTGTCCTTGGTCACCCAGCTAATGTCTGAGGTAGGAGTTTGAACCCAGGTCTCTGAAACTCCAAGTCCAAAACTTGCAGCCACTATACCCCATTGCCTCACTATGACACTGGTATGTATATAAGACAACAAATAGGTAAGCCCTAAATTATATTGTTCAGTCTCTGAAACACTACGGTAGATCAGCAAAAGAGGAGACCCACTTGAGGTTAGCCACTATCAAACCTGGAGCAATGATCTGGGTCGGGGGTGCAGACGAGGCTTGTCCTTGTTGGGGCTGAAAGCCACATGCATCAGAGCTGTCTGAGGGTTCAAGTTCTGTTACTGGCAGCATGCAACACTCCCCATTGGTCAGTGGAACTGTGACAGCATTATGGCCACCGATAGCCAATCGGCACCCCTGGGGAGGTGTTGCCAATCTGTGCTGCCTGTTGTTCCCCAGTGGTTTGGATGGGTGGGCTGCAGTGGCTGTGCAACGTAAGTCAAATGGAAGATCTTGTTCAGGACAATGATAGACCAAATACACTAGAATCATTTATTTATTTTTCTTTTGTGGAGCAACTTTCTTTTGCCAAGAATTACAATGGACGTATTGCAAAAACCACTCTACTGATTTGTGTGATGGGCTC